TCGGCTTTGTGTTTGTGTGTTCAAATCATTCCCATTTTGTTGTGTTGGTCAGATTTTTTCATGTGTTCTTAACGTTTTCTCGTACCACGTTTCGGGATAGCCCCAATATTAAATCAAGAATAAGCTCTCGGGTCCTTGGCAAGCATTAAGAATGCGTATCATCGGGTCAGAGAATTAAAGTGAGCTGAACTGTGCCCTACATCTAGTGCTGGTTTGTCATCTACGGGGATATCAGTCGCCCAAGGCCTACCTGAGAGCTCCATATTGCATGTTAGTCCGCTATGTCTTCAAGCTTTAGTGGAGGTGTAGGAACAATCCAGGATGGAAAATTGTACGCTCATGAAGATCGCTGTTTGAACTAGCTTTATGTAAAACAATAGTATCGGACATGCATTTACTAGCTTCAGACACCTCGATGAAAACAGTGTCATGTTGGAGAAAATCGGCAGGGCAACTTAACCCTCCTGACCTCGTTGCATTGTAATTCTCTGGATTTTATGTCCAGTCCAAATCCAGCGTCCTACCCGGGATTGTAACGATGTTGTAATCCTTTGATTATTAATACCTCGTCTCAAATCGATATAAATACATCCCCGTTTTCAATTTATTGGCTTGTTATATGCTCTAACCTTTTGGATATTTGTATTATCCGTGAAGGTCGAAGAGGATTACTATTGAATACCTGAACCAATTGGCGGTGATCCGGGTCACCAACTATTATGAAAACAAAATCTGAAATATTTACTTCAATTTATTTTAGCACCAGGTACTTCAGTAACAGTTCGCGTTTGGACTACGATCCTTCCACTGTTGGCTGAAATGAGCGATCCTCCTACGATAGAACAACGAACTGACGGTACAGGTGGCTTGAGCCAGACTGCACCACGGAGGAAACAAATGCCTCGGAATCGAGTGACAGCGTTTGAGTGTGCTTGTGCCCTACTTCGCACTGAGAAAGTTGAGCAGTTACAAGCCACGTACAAGTCACTAGAATCCAAGTGGGGTGGGACCGAGCACTCTCAGGCGGAGGGTATGGTTCTCTCCTTGATTGGCCAAGGCGTTCCAGACGCTCCAGTTAGAGCGATATTCGGCGTTGGAGGACCCAAGATAGCGCGTCTTAAAGCCGTAACCAAGCCGCCGCACACTCGGCGCCAGCGTAGCCGCCCAAGTCACTCTTACTCAGATGATGACATGAAATTTCTAGTTACAGATGGGAACTTGAAGAAGGATATCCATGTTCGCATCGTAATTTATGGCGATACTTAGTAGAGCCTGGTGTAACTTGGAAATTATTATGGTCAAGATACAAAACAATAGCTGAAGACCAAAGTCGTCGTATTATGGAGTATTCGCGATGGCTCCAGTACGTACACTATTACTTTCCTGGTGTTCGTTTTTCGCGTTCAAAAGAGGATCTGTGCGACGCTTGCACGAGAATTGAGACGCTGCTACTGAATCCATACATCCCTGATTCTGAATGTACTGAGCAAGTTGCAGAAAAGGAACTTCATCTTGATGCAGCTATAAATCAACGCCGGGCAATGTCGGCCTTTGTGAAGCAGTATGTTGCTTAGAAAGCTCCAAAGCAGACAGTACCTGAAGAAATTGCCCCAGATCACGTTGAAATGCCACTTAATATGGAGCCTGTGGTAGACCGACACTGCAAATACAAATTGAGGATTTTGGGGAAATTTTCCTCTTCCGGTTTACAACAACAACAAAAAACCATCGGCGGGCTATCTTAACTCGAACCTGATGATGCACAATTTTGTTATTGCTGACCTCACGGATGGAATTAATAACGTTCTACTTTACGGCGAGCGTGGTCAAGGCAAAGGTGCCGATGCTTTATGTAACTTACGGACATCAAACAGCGAAAGCGCAACAAATTTCCAGGTCATAATGAGCCCGAACACTCTCTCACACTACTTGTAATACAGGACAGTTGCGTTGGGCAGAATAAATCCCGTACAGTATTCAGATTTTGTGCCATGCTATCACTTGTGTTCTACAAAAAAGTGGTGCTACTGTTTCTCCGTCCCGGTCATGCGCATAAAGCTGCCGATCGTGTACTAGCGTCGTGCAGAAACAAAATGAATCACAAAAGTAAATGACACTAATTCTGTACGGGGTCAGTTTCAAGATCATCGCAGAAGTGATCGACCATTTTTCTGTGAATGGGAAGGTTTGTTGTCGAAGTACTTTGGTAAGATGCCAACAAGATAAACGGGTAACTATTTTTTCGAGCTTGACTTTGGAGTTGTTACAATGCGGCACTTAATGTCTTAGCCCAATTCAGACTCTGAAGTGTTTTCGCAGATCGGCACCGGCAACCATAATGCTATACGCTCCGCGTTTCTTACAGATTTTTTTGAAAATGGATACAATCTTGACACTGTTACTATAGATAGCGTTTGCTTACCAAGGCAACCACTTCTTCCACTGACGATGTAAAAACTCAAGTCGTTGTCGTTTAAATATTTCTCTATTCCTGCCGAGTATTTAGCTTACTATCCGGATGAATCAGCATTCTGCGAGAATAAGGACGAGCCTAGTGACGCTAACAAAGGTGCAAGAACTACGAAGAGAAAAGTAGCTGTAGGCGTGCAAGCAAAGCGACCGGTTGGGCGACCTTGGAAGCAACAAGTTCATACAATAAAATTCACATCTATCCTGCGCTTTCTGACAACCCGTTCACAATAACCCAGCAGCCTGCATATCGATGATTCGAATTCGAGCACTTTTAGCAGCACAGTGATCACAAATGACCACGCAGTCGGCGCCAATAACAACAATTTAGTCACGGCAACCTCAGATATTGATGGAAAGCACATATTTTAGGAGTGACATAATTTAGCTTAACTCGGACGTTGGATCGGAGTTGCAGTGCATCCAAAGCTGCAGCAAGGAAAGGGTAGTCGGCATTGCCTGATTACAGAAGCTTAACCCTACCAAACCGGCAGATTTTGACATTCTTATGCCGCATTATGCGGCTCAGTTATACTTGATTATCGTATACAAAATTGCTGGGAGGGTTTGGTGAGTGTGCACAAATGTGAGGGTGAGCAGGGCAATAGCCTACTTAAGCAGCATATTGCTGCATACAGGAGTGCTGAATAAGGCCAATACAACTGCATAAAGCAGCTGAGTGGCTTACCATAAACCGGACGCATGGTCGTTGATGGACAAGATTGTAGAGAAAATGTTTGAAATTTGCGAAAACCAGAATCAGTACAGAAAACAAATGAAAGGAATTTGAAATCGTTCGATGAGTAGCAACATCTGTGAAACAAGACCATACAAACAAAAAGATAGCCAAATAAACGGGGCAAACACATTTTTTGTAAGAGCACTAACAACGAGACCAACAATGAACAATCCAACAACTGTCCAACAAGTTGATGATATCATTCTGCAAGTATACTACCTATGCTACATATATCCTGTGTCTACGCTGCATTATGCAGCACTACTCATCATCAGAGGCGTCACAGGTCCGGCGTCTCTTCTTCGGTGTTGGTGTCCTCTCGCCAGTAGATTGATCATCAGCAGACCGACATCCAGGCGGCCGAACCCGAAACTTTCCAGCATACTCAGCAGGGATCAAGCACCCGTTCTTCCAGTCACGATGCCAGATATCCCAGTATGTCGCCGCTACCCCACGGACTTTGCGGTGCGACCGAAGGCACAAAACTATCGGGCCAAACTTATTGCACTCATTGCAGTAATACGTAGAAGTTACCTCGAAAACGCTGAAGCTGTTGGGCAGTATGTGCAGCACTAGCGCTGCTTCCGGTGATCAGTGGTTCCGGTCGCGCTGGTGTTGCCTATGACTGCACTCCAAACTGATTGCCTTCGTAGATGTCCAACGCCTGCAGCTGGCAAAGCTGCAAATGGAGGGTTTTTCATGTAGACGACGTGTGACATCGGCTTTATCTTTGTGCTTGTAGAAGGCACAATGTAGCCATTTACGATAGCCATATCTAGCAACCCCAGCATCAACGACTTGTAGTAATTTCGGAAACGTACAACTCGTTGAAGCGAGTAGCGTTGCAGCCGCAGCTGGTCATGCAAGTCACCCCCCCCCCCCCCCATGTGAACATGGTAGTCTTTGATTACTCGAGGGCAAGAAACATCATGCTGTACCCCACAACCGTCACGCCGCACGACGCGATCCAGCTCCAAACTACCTCCAGTAGCAAAAAAATGTACCGGTTTCGAGTCCCACCACGATATAGCAGCCATGTTTGGTACATATTTAGAAACGGTAGCCTTGAAAGTCTCTCGATCGATTTCTTTAGGTCGCTTCGTCTTCCTGTCGATCATTTCCTTGCAATATCCAACTCGATTTGTCACAATAGTTTCAACACAGTAGAACCCCATTAGTAGCAATTGAATTACCAGCGCAACCGAAGTGTAGAATCGATCTACCACCACAAGGCGCATGCCTTGCTTTATAGCCTCCGGACCAAAGACAACCAGTAAGTTGCGCACGACAGCAACGGTTCATATCCGGAGTATGGGCGTCGCTGGAGTGCTGCCTTTCCCCGCAATAGACCTCAAAGCTGTATATATGCAGCACAGCAAAACAGAATGCGTCAGTATGAAGCTGCGTAATGCTGCATAAGAAATCTCAGGCAACTCACCGAATGCAGTATGACGTTACGGCACTACACAGCACGAACAATTTGGTCCCCCATTTATGGGGCGTGTCTTTGAGGTACACTCTCGTCTTGTTGAATGATGAGCGACTTGGTAGTATCGCCTCATCCAAAGCAAGGTGGGACGGCGCGACGTAGCCACGTTCAAACGTGGTCTGAAGCACCTCAACAATCTTCCTTATCTTCCAAGTGCGATCCTTTTTCGCTAGCTCGTGGTTGTTCGGGTTGAAGTGGAGGTTCTCGAGATCTGCTGGAATCGGTCTCGGCTGAGGACGGAGCCAAACGTTCCACGAGGAATGCCGCCTTCATCGATGGTCTTCCAATGATTGCAAACATCTCTCAGTTAGGCATGATTGTCCGGGCGATCAACAGGCCAAAGAATCGGCAGACTTGGTGCGGCATGATGATCTTCTGATTCTCCAAATCATGTTGAATGTCACGACGGGTTTTCTTGGGCAAAGCATTGTTCGATTTTCTCTTCTTGTTGTAGCGTTTAAAGGCCTCCTCCAAGCGCTGGGGTATCATGTCCTTGTGGTATTGGTTTGAGCACAAGCCAATGTGCTGCCAAAGCGGTACGGGCATAAAGTAGAAGAATAGTGCGAATTGCCACGCCGTAATACATCTGGGCTCGGTCCCGAATACTCTTGACGTAAGCCTGGATAACTGCCTCGGTTGCTGGCAGGCTCGTAAGGTAACTGCATGTATTCGTGTGTGTCTGGCTGCTTAGCAGCCTCCCACCCAGTTGAGGATATGTCGCCTAGAGCCTTATCCTCGCGATTATCAGCCAAAACAGCTCGGTGGCCTCCAAGACGCTCCAAGAACTGTCCAGCGAGAAGAATTTCGTCGGTGATTTCCATCTCTGTAGGCTCCGGTGCCACAGTTTCGCCATCATCAACCAGAAGATCAGGTACGATCTCGCTGTCCTCGCCTGGCTCCTGATCATCTTGCGCTGCGTCATCGCCGGAGTCCATTGCCCCAAAGTCAACTTCATCCTCGTCTGATGCTGTAAGATTCAATGCGCTTTATTTATCTGCCATGACATCGTCTCTTGAATGATCTATCGAACAAACAACGTGTTAGTTATTCAACGTGTATGCAGCTTAGTATACAGCACAATATCCAGCATAGTATGCAGCACAGTATACAGCACAGTATACAACATAACTACCAGATTTGTGCATCAGATTCTCCCGCTGAATCACCTTCGCCAAAGACGCTATTTTCATCACCAGTGTCGTCGTCGCCTGTACCATCTTCAGCAGTGTCTTCATCCGCACTGATTCCAACGTGTGGTGATGTGGGGATTAGCACCAGTCGAGAAGGCGCTGAGCGAGTTGGTGCCGCCATTGGGGTCGCGCCTGCCGTCTGAGAGCTTGTCTCCGTAGTCGTCACTATGGAAGGTGGCGTCGTCATACGAGTCGTTGGCGTAGTTGGTGTCGTAGGGCACAGTGTAGGTGTCGTCAGACGAACTGTCTCTTTGCTGTTGAAAGAGGTGTTGGTGTCGATGGTGGAGCCGTCGGTGCTGTCATCTGAGTCGCCATCGTGGTCGAATTTGTCGCAGCCCTAGTCACAGCGTGCATGTTAGTCTGTCCATTCAATGTCATTGTTACCATATGAGATAAAGTTGCAATAATATAACTTACTTCTTGCATAGAAGTCAAGCACAGCTTCAGGACCCAGGAAAAAGTCGACACCTTCGGTACCGTTGGGGTTGGCGCTTGGGCGTACATAACTATAGCGTCCGTCGAGGCAGCGCGTTGGTGCCTTCTTTGATGTCCAACCTTCTGCCTTGAGCTCCCTCCAGACAGACCTAAAGGCCTGATCACGAGCGCAAAACACTGGCTTGCCAAGTGTTGCCGGCATGAGGGCTTGAACGTGAGCGGGGGAAGTCTGGAAATGAAACTAGTGGCCTGTGAGTGGCCACAGATCACTACTCAAAAGCGTACACTCTAAACGGAATATTTTTAGAAATATCAGTCTCGTTTATGCTCACATCGATTCATCAAATCTTGTGGCAAATATTTGCCTGCGTTTTTGCTATCTTAATTTTTGTATCCTCCGGGTTAGGGTATTTTTCACATACAAAATCCAAGATGAAAGCTCTCTTATGCTGCATCATGCGGCATAGTAGACAGGCATTATGCAGCAAGCCGGGTTTGGGGGGGTTAAATAATGCGTATGTTTTATGACAGAATAGTTGAATACCGAGTCATTGGTGTGACCGGGGTCACCGCCAACTGGCTCACCTGTTAGAATTATTCGCAACATTCGTGTAACACTCGTAGTTAATCCGATATTTGGTGTATCCATTGGGGTTGACAAGCATCCATTAATCGTCACAGTTCAGCTGGCGAGAGCAACGTTAGGTTTCCAAAATTTGTTGGCTGTCTGTAAAAGGGAAATGTGTTAATTTATCGAAGGCCGCATCTCGTGTTTTCATGACTAATGCGATGCGTGGAGCACTTGTATCTAACGGCCAGGGTGTTTACTGATGCACAACATGCTTTTGACAGGTTAAAACCACCGCTTATTTGGAACAAACACTTGTGACCTGCTGAAATAACGGATGGGTACATTCATTTTGAGCTCTGGCAGTACTCGTAAACTACACTGAAACAGTACACAGATTCTACGGCTGCGAACCAGGCGCAAGAGATGCACCGACGCCTGAGCGTACATCATGGGCATACAGATCAAACAATTATAATCTTTTCATACAAGCCACGCGTGGGCCCTCACAAACGTCGCTATTAAAGCAGGTTTTGGCCGAGATAAAGCCCAGCCCGCCTCGCTCAGCCAAATGCTGATTCTGGTTTGACTGAATGATAGTTTTATTAGACAGTTGTTGTCGCATTGCTTCGCTCGTCAAGGAATACTTGAAGATTAAATATTTTTTGTTTTACTAGGTATAACAATCCCCAATATACCTACTATTGGTGTTTTATTTTACTTTTTGCTCCAACTAAGGGCAAAACTGTCACGGTGGGAGCTCCTAGTGACTTTCCTTCTTCTGTATTTTGTAACCTGCTGAACCATTGAGAGAGCTCCACAATAAAGTGAGATTTTCCGAGGAGCAAGGCGAGGCGGAAAATAAGTTTTCCTGCGAACGGACGAAAATCACGTTGCAAGACTTAGTTCAAGCATATTCAGCTGGAAGCTCTAGAATCAGCCCGTCCGCGAAGGTGTGTTGCAACATCTCAACCACAAGTCGTGGCCACGTTGAGAGCAAGCTTCGCGGTGGTTTCCAACGCCTTCGAAACCAACGACTCCTCAGGTCGCTAAGTCCAGCTGTGTTGTAGGTAGTGGTTTGTTAGACGAAGCTCTTGAGGTCGGTGTTTGGTCAGTCGGCTTCTTACCACGTTGGGCAGAACCAACTTCGTAGCGGCCAAGACCTCCAACGCACCTGGCCCTTACACCGGTGCACATTTTAACACCCACCACACCACTCCCTACGGGGCAGCCTGAGATCATCTCAATCATGAGCCTCACCCAGGCTAGCCTTCAATAATCAAGAGCTATCGTCTTTGCCCCCAACGTGCTTTCGTAGTGAAGTGAAGAAATGCATATACTCTGAGATACGAATTGTAGCAACTGTAGAACGAATTAACAATATCGATGAAACATGTGCACAATCAGTTGAGGAGGCGCAAAACAAAACGGTGCTTGAAGTTGCGAGTTTTCAAAAATCGACTGTATATTTTGGGTTTTAGATATTTTGAAAGGCGATGGAGGTTTGTATCATTTGATTTACACCACGCCTCTCGACAAACTTGGCCAACAAGTGGTAGATAGTAGTTGAGCTGTTCTCTCGATCCAGCGCCACGATGGTGAAGCACTGTATCCGATATTTTTGTTCATATAGCCAAGGTGGTCATAATGCTCTGCTTTCGCTCTGCTGATGTCATTTGAGAAAGCGAACACAAGAACTGTTTTAGCACCACCGTCTTGCAATCTATGTAAGGGCACTACCTGCACGTTACGTTCATGACGACAACAAAGCTTTATTCGCATATATTCCAGAACTACCCTGTGCGAAGTGCAGCTTTGTACTGAGTACCTCGATATGACACTCGTCAACTACTGCTTAAAGTGTTGTTGGAATCCATCGTACTGGGCAATACCATGTTTAGAGAGGCAAATAGCTTGTCCTACAGAGCGAATTAATGACCACCACCAAATAATTTAAAAATATTTAAAAAAGAAAAACACTTTAACACCAGTATTTTGAATTCAGTAGACGTACTCTCTTTTTGTCTGGTTCTTTATCTTTCAGCGCACTAATTAACGAGTGATGGTTCTAGAAGTAACAGAGTACAACTACACCAGGTGAGGAGTTCATCCAGTCAGCACTAGAAACTACTACACCAGTGCTCGCATCGAATTCCATCTCCATAGAATTGTAAGGGATCCGAACATTCACTCAAAACCTCCACGGAACGACATGGTGGTGATGAGCGTGCAGACGGATCGAGCAGGTATGTTGAAGCTGGAGCTGGACGTGGGGGCTTACGAGTGTGATACATACGCCAGAG